TTATAGTGATGGTCAAATTGATGGCTCTAATTCTATCCAATGAAAAAAGGTTGTTAAATGTTATTAAAGTCACCCACCCAAAGCAGGGGAGAAAGGAAGTGAAAGAATAAGAACATGGTGAAGAGGAGAGGAATGAAAACTTGCTTTGTATCGGCAATGAAGAAAACTAAAAGAATAAATGGACCCAATCTGGCTGCACTTGGTGCTAGAATGGCTGCCCATCCAAAAGCCCATGCCCAATCCACCATGTCACTTTTGTCCGTCTCCAAACCCTGCGGATGCTCTGCTTTTATAGCAGATGCACAGAACCAAAGGATGTGAGGCGTGAAAGCAATGGGAAATTCATTACATATTCCTACCCCCCTCCGTTCACCATAATCACCACAATTAGCAGACATCTGCAGTGACTCCAAAGCTGGGAGTGTATTCAGGCAATCAGAGCAGCTTCACCGACAGCACTGACTGCAGCCCCCTCTGTGATGGGCCTCATCCTGAAGGGAAGCATTCCATTAGAAACTCAGTGATTAATTGAGACGCCGAATTCGCTTCTGGCATCGAGCACGAATGAAACCCAACAGGAGGCATCCATGATGGCAGAGCCGCGCACGGGATTGCGGTCCAGAGTTGGCGGGGACTTTAACATAGTGTCGATGGTGTTAGATGAGGCGCTCGCGCTGTTGGTTCGCAATTATCAGTATGAGAAGAGTTACTAGAAAACAGCTATGTGAAGATTTTCTGACCCATCAAGTAAACAAAACCTGTGTGTGTCTAACGATAACCTGGATTTTATAGGTACTTACGGATATTGGTATTATCCCCCGTGCTCTGAGAAACCTGGAATCCAGATTCCTGAAATCCACTAAAGCCTTTTATGTTGTTTAGCTGTAGATGTATCTTGTATGTAAAGGACATTTTAAAGGAACTGTTTAACTTAAATGTGAAGCACCGGCTGTCAGACATTTGCTTAGCATAAGATAAAAGCAGGAATCTAAAATAACTTTTCCAACCAAATGATGCTGATCTGTACTACTGTGTATTATTTCTACCCTTCACTTGTAAATCTCTAGAGATGTTGGTACATTTAGACTCCCTGTGTTTATACTTCTTGACCTAAGCAAAGTTAACACTCTCAGTTTACAGATATGAAGCGTCAAGCTTTTCAAATCTCTGCGAGAAAACGGGCACATTCTTCAAAATGTCAAACTATTCCTTTAAGACGTCTCTGATTGGATGATTATCAAAAGTGTTGGGTGGCCCACTGTATGTTCTCCATCTGTAGTGGATGACAGCATGTTAGACAGCTCATTACTGAAGCAGTTGGAGATGTCACTCTTACTAGGCACAGTATGGAACATCCACGGCTTTAAGCCTCAGCTTGTCATGAAAATTAACAGTAACACATTGGACTCTTATCATCTTGCCTTGAGTCCGGCGCCGGCTCGTTTCCCGGATTGCGCGGCACGTGGAAGTAAGTGTAAATACGTACATCAGTCGAGCTTACGCGGACGCAGCTGCAATTGAGCCTCATTGTCCTCGGAAAAAAGGAGGAAAAAGCCAGCTTTTTATAAACTCAGCAGACAGGCATGTTGTCACACAGACGAAAACACATTTGGAGTTTATTAGATTCATCTGCAGGAGATGAAATCATCCAGAACAGTTGAATGATTATGTGTATCACTTTATAAATGGTTTTTAGTAACGACTGATGCACCACACTATGACAAATACTCCAAACAATCCAAAGGAATCCTTTTAATTTTCCTGTTTTATTTCTTTACAGTGAGTGTTTTTCTCCAAATGCACAGAGTACACGCTTGATATTTGCCAAACTTAGCTTTTCCTCCTCATATGCAAAGCTGACGTACTTTGTATTCTGCAGATTTTAAAATGTGCATTATTTACATCAGATGTGATTATGCGTCCGCAATGGATTTCAGTGCTTCTTGGCACATCACTACGTATCAGTAGAATAACATGAAAGCCAGCCACCGCAAAATGTACAGCAGCCGTCCCGCTGCTTGCGTGTATGTGTCCTAATGAGATGCAAACAAAACATAAGACCACTCATCAAAGCACCGTTCAGTGAACTCATGCTCAAAATATCCACATGGTGACGTAAAATTATAGGATTTTGTACAGCATCGAGGGTTGTTTTGTTTGAGGAAGTTGGAGCTAACCTATAACACAGAGTGGTGCAGTGGTTAGCACTGTCATCTCACAGCAATGAGATGACAGGTTTGAATCCACCAGCTTGTTGGGGTTTTTCTGTGAGTTTACTTTACTCTGGCCTTCCTCTCCCTCTACAGTTAGAAGACACGTTCATAGTTATGTTGTGATTCTAAATTAGTCATCTAGATTGTCAACCTAGGCTAGCTTTTAAGAAACTTAAATGTGCTTAACTAGAAGTACAAAGCAGAATAAAATGGAAGGGCTCAATGAAAGTACAAATACCTTAAAAAATCAACTGATTTTAAAACTGCTCTCGCATTAGTGTGCACTTTGTACCAGTGTAAAAACACAAGCAAACAAAGAAGCCTTAAGTTTGGAGTTATTATGTGATGTATGTAATGAGTAAATGTGGGGTGTTTTTTCTTCTTTTAAATGAGGCTTTAAATTTGTATCTGTAGTTATAAATGTTAACACGCTAGTAAGAACATTCCAACCCAGTGGAGAGCTCTGTGATAAACAGATCGTTCTGTTCCAGGAGTGGTTCATCGAATTAAACGCAGACAAAAAGGATCTTTTCAGTTTGTCTTTTACAGCAAGGCCGTTTTCAGCTACTGTCACTGTGCAAGTTTATCATGTTACACCTGCATTTATTAATCACCGAAAAGACTCTTTCCTGGTGAAGTCAGCAGAACTGAAAGGGAATTTCATGCAAAAAAAACTAACCCACCCAGCCCGAAACCCCGGGATTTCACACATATACTACCCCTCTCACAGAACAGAGCTGACCCTAACCAAAGCAGAAAGACAAGTGGGGGGCCCCAGTGCAAAACTGATGAAGAGGACAAGCACATCAGATGCCGCACAGGTCTTCAGGAGGAAGTTTCATTAAATAGCAGTGCTGTTGTATGATATCTTGTCTTGTTTGGTGTTGTGTTTGGTTTAGCTCACACAATGTGTTTGTAGAACACAGGAGTGGTGTTCGCTAAAAATGGACCACTGAAACAATCGTAAACAACTAATGACATGTAATTCTGTGAATTCAGTGTCTTTTGCATTTCTGATGAATTCCATGTCATATCAGATCAAATACAAAAGGAAGGTCAGCTAAAAGGTAACCCTGAACTTTAGATTTCACTATACCTTGTCAAAAAGGGGCACCCAGATTCTTTAAAGTCACCGAGAACCATGTGACGCTTTGGTTTAAAAGGAAAGATGAATTGCACCGACTAAGGAATTATAAGGTTTTCACACCATAGCAGCCGCACGCATAAACACCCACGTGGTTAGATTTGTGAAAGAGCTGTGATTGAAGCTGGGGCTAAATTAAGAGGAAAGACAGATTAGAAGCTTAACGGAAATCAAGCCAAGGCTGTTGCTCTCATTTGGATGTTGGAAATTAGACCGAATAGTGAATAAATCTAGGTGCTTTACTTTCGAGAGCACCGTTCCCACCAGTTATGCAAATTAGCCTTCAAAATGCACACAATAATCGAATGATGTGGCGCTTTGTTTGGAGCTTTGAGCGTGCTTATTTTATAGGTTTAACAGGGACGAGAGCGGCGCCTCCTCGTTTTGCGGCTTCTTCGTGGCTGTCGTAAAATCGTAGAGCTACAATGAAACGGGGTGTGATCCTCCACTTGGTGTTTCCTTCCTTCTAGCATGGGTCTGGGCCTTATAAAGGCCTGTGTGGTGTGCCACAGACACGCCGCCTTTCTGCTGTGTGGAGAAATGTGTTCAATCACCATGGCTACTGGACAGACCCCTGCTGTGGTTATTAGGATTTCTCTGTCTGCTCGCACAGGTTAACCACTCACTGTCTGTGTTACGGATGCGAATGTGAGTGAGTGTGTTCAGGAGGGTTACAGGTCAAGAGGTGATTTAATATTATAATTATAGAACCAGAGTGGTGGGTTTTTTTAAAAGCAGGATCTCACCTAGAATGGATCAGCTCGGACCGCGCTGCCTCTCAACAGTATGTGAGAAGGGGGAACATGAGAAAGCTTTAAGCTGTATTGATTCAGCCGACTACTCTCGGAGTGAGTACCAGAGGATCTGAAGACAGAATTATCCATGCACCATTTCCTCCCCTGCTCCTGTGTGGAAAATTCTGCAGTTCCAGCTTTGTCGTAGCCTACATACAGCAGAAACACACACACTCAGGGCCCCATAAACATTGTGCTTAGGGACACACACAGCAAGAGAGAGAGACACACACACAGCGTTGAGGTTTGATGTTGCAGAATAATAGTTGTTTGATTTATTTATAGTCATTCCCTTCCATCTGAATGGCTCTGCATATTTTTTTGTTAAATTAATCTTAAAATAGGACAAGCAGACGGATTAAAAAAAACCCTGCAGAAGCACGCTGCTGTAATGCTGTAAAATTTAGGATTTTCTCTATAGGCTGCTACATCATTTTTCCCATATTAAGTTATGCCGTAATGTGGGTTATTATAGCGGTCTCTGAGCCTACATAAAGTGCGCTGAGGTCTTTATAAACACTAATAACACGCACTTGGGTGCTCCAGTTTCACTCTGAGTCCATATGAAGAGATTATGGGAAGCCATAAAACTGTGGAGGATAAGTCCCACCAATGAAATCTGAATTTCTGAGACACGGGGCATTGTCTGCATATGCCTCTTTGCCCTGAGTATCCTCCTCCTCTACTCCCCACCCGGTTTCTCCTGAATAATGCACGATGGACACCCCCTCCCGCGCTTCCTCCCTTCAGCCCCCTCCTCCGCGCCGGCCCTGTGTCCAATAGCCGACGCTCATTTTATCAAGCTATCTCCTCTGAGCCAATCCCAGTCCACTCAGTGATCCCTGTAAACCGGATGCCCTCCCTTCTGCCCCTCAAACAGACGTAATCTGTGGATCAGAGAGGCAGGCGCCCAGTCAGTGCGTGGACTTGGTGTCGGATGAAGAAGATGGGAGTAAGAATAAAAATTAAAAATTAAAAATTAAAAAAAGAAAAGAAATACTCCCCGCTGCAGAATCAGAAGAAACTGCGATCAGCGCCCCCGCGACAGGAGAATGAGTCCTGCTGCTTCACCAGCAGGGTGAATGGAAATCTTGTGAGTATGCCATCATGTCAAATGCATAACCTAAAACGGGGATGTGGTGTTTTTTTGGTTAATCCGGTGCAGTCGGCGCAAAACCGGCGGTTTAGTTAAAAAGAAATGATGCATCTTTTTTATATATGTGCGTTTTTGTAATAAAGTATGAATGAGCTGATTAATACGTGGCTGGATGTTAAACTCTGTGGCGGTGTGTGATGTACTCCGGGTTGTCGCTCGGTACTATCGAGGCGGCTTTAGCTCTCAATGCCACTCATTTCTTCTTCTGGGCATCCGTGTGACTAAAGGAAGAGAAGGGGAAAAGGGCGATTTCCGATTGCTTTGGCAAGTATGAATCCTTTTAAAGCGCACTTCAGTTAAAAAAAACGCTCTCGCAGACGCGTCGATTGCACACAGTGGGCAGACAAACGCTGCCCTCCCTTCTCGGAAAGTTTTAACGGTGTGTTTAAAAGAGCTCAAAAGAATCACGCCGAGAGGCTTCAGTGCAGCATAACTTTGACTGCTTTCACTCAGCAGACAGTCTTTCGTTCACACTGAGGCCTGAAAGTCGGCTGATAAATGGTGTCTATTATTTTTCCCAGCCGAACAATGCGTACCGGCTTTGTTTGGACCATCTGTCATTGTATCGACATTACAGCCAGCCCCCCTGCCCCACAAAGAATCCTGAGTGGGAGACACCTGAAGCGCAGACAGCAGACGGCGGTCGTTCAGAGCCGCCACCCGTCTCTCGCCAAGCCGTGACTCATGGTGTGGTCCGTCTGAGTGGATGGGTGCGTAACGCGGCCACAAAATAAACAGGCGCTGGAACAAAGTGTTGCAACTGAAACATGATTTGTTTTTGGGGAAGGGATTCCACATCATGCACGCGTGTCTGCTGATGTGTGGTTTATCCTCAGATGTACGCTGGGACTGGAATAGTGCAAGTAGAGAAAAGCGTTTGCTGTATTTGCGCATCCTGAATTCTCGGAAACAGCTTGTTGCGCATCTGACTTCCTCCCGGAATTTTTGGGCCTTCGGCACATGGCGAAAAAAACAAAACAGCCAGACTGCCATTTTCAGGGTGGGCACACACACACACACAGATACAAATAAACACACTCCATCACAAGCACTGCACACTCAGTTTGGGGCATAGAGGCCTGATAAGCAGCACAGCTTTGACCCTCCAGTTAGTTGAATGCAGCTGAGGCCAGGAGACTTCAGAAACTGCACTGCTTAGCTTATAGACACGTGGTACCAAGCACTAATATGCCTTAAGGTTAATGAGGCAGTCTCCATAAATTCTTTTGCCATCTGGATATAGTAGGTCTAGACGCTTAGTGCAGCACTACATTTTACCCACTATAGATTACTCACAGAGTGATTTGATGAAAAAAAAATCAATGGAATTGAAGAAAAAACATTTACCTACTGCCGAGAGCCATTTAACTGCGTGTACTTTAATTTCTTTTACATAAATTAGTGGGAAAATCTGTCTCAGTAAGCCGTGTGGTGGAAGAACACTCCTGATAGGCACTGATGTGATCAGCTGTGATGGCCTGCTTCCATCCCTGTCAGGACTGAGTTACATTTAATTCACTTTAGCCGTGTCCCCTGTGAAGTAGAAAAAGCTGCTCCCTCACATTACAGAGCAACCAATGTCCGGGTGCATAGCTGTTTAATTCGGTTTCAGAGAGTTATCGGGGTGGGATAAGTGAACGGAGCAAAGCCAGCGTCTTCCTGCCGCTGTAATGTGGACGCAGGGGCGGTTTTGATGTTGGCTTATCTTATCTCCTGCTTGGATCTATGATCATCATTCCTGCATAGCTCATTATCACATATGATGAGTTTCATCAGCTGCACCCTGCAATTATGTTGAGAAGCAACCTGCTATCACAGCGGAGAGGCTCTCAGCCACAGATCACTGTTGTTCCTCCATTACACGGCATCTATTTCTCAACAGAGTCCGCAGAACAGTTCCAATTAAACATTATTGTTGCTTTAGTTTGTCTCTGTCGGTGGAAATGCAGCGATGGCACAGGGGATCATCATCAGCAACAGCAGCTGGGGTTCGCCGATTCGTTCATTCTGGCTCAAATTCAACTCCTGGATGACGAAAGTGTTGAGGATAGCACAGCTCAGTTCAGCTGCACTCATTCAGCACGACTGCCTTTTTTTAAATAGCAAAAAACTAGTTACATCTTGTATATTTTTATAAATCCGTCTCTGTCTAAGGATCCAAAACAGCCAATACAATACAATCTCACAACTCCTGTGAAGAAACCTTGCGGTATGTCCATGCATCTCAGCTAAATGGAAGTTTAGGCCTGAATGCGTTCATATCAACAGGATCCTGTGTGTGTTTGTTCTTCCCCTGTGTGTGTGTCTGATTGGGTAATGGGTAAATGGAAAGGCTAGGTAATGGAGACCCCTGCACCCTGCCTTAGGCATTGTGACATACTGCGTGTCTAGATGAGTGTATGACCTCTAACCTCTTGTCTAGCCAACAGCTCAGGTCCGCTTGGGTCAAGCCAGGTGGCTTTCAAAAGCCTACTGGCCCGTTCACAAGCAGATGACATTTAAACTCTTTGCACGTCGGCTGATCAGCAGCAACATTAAAGCCACTTGCCATAACATTGTGAACGCCCACCTTGTCTTGCACCAATATTGCACCTCTTGATGGGTGGGCCTCCAGGATTGTTGGACCTTTGTCGTGTTTCTCAAGCTGTTCCTGAGGAGTTTTTGCCGCATTGTGGTGGACGCCGCTGCTATCAGGGAATACCCTCGCTGTGGTAGGTACACTTGATCTACGACCATATTCGGAGGGGTTTGAAATGCAGATCAACGCACATCTCAGAGGAACGAAACAGTCCAAAATAAGATCTACTTAATTCAGCCTTTTCCTTACTTCTTAAATTCAGCTCCCGAGAAATGGCCTTTCTCTCGCAGCAGCTCAAAATCCCAAATTAAGATCTTAAAATGCTTTTTTTCTTCTCTCTGCGCTGGCCGTTTGTTTATTTGAAATGACTAACCCAAGAAAAGAGTAAGAATCAATCACATATATATGATTGGACTGCACAATATCAGAAATCAGTCTCAGTGATCGAAATCGAGCCTTTGAGTCTCTGTGCATTTTATCTCCTGCTTTTCTTGCGTTTCTCCTGCTATTATCCAACTGGGCAGAATAATTGGTCTTAGCTTGATTTATTATTTTGCTCTTCTTATGGTTCTGAGAGGAGACAAAGACGAGAGGAGACAAAGAAAATGGTTGTCTGGCTTTGTGTTACAGGTAAATTTATAGAGTAGTAGTCGTGGGAAATGCTGATTATGGGGCTAAGAAAACAAGTTAAACATCTCTGGAATAATCAGATTTTCTCTCATGCCTACATATTTTTTTTCCCCCAAACAGCCTGATTCTTCTTCTGCTTTTATCTTAAAGGGTCAAAGTGTAGTTGACCAATAAAGATATGAGAAACAACAGATTTAAAAATCCAGACGCAGATCGGCTAATCTGCTCGTTTTTTCCACGTCGTGGTTGCGGTGTTTAATCTCAAACTACCGTAAGACACAAACTAGCCTTGAACCTGTCGCTGCTGAGAGAAACAGCCCGTCTCCATTCTGTCACTACATGCTCTCTATTGTATCTCTGCACAAGAAACTCCCCATTGGAAATTTTGGAATCTTTCCCATTGTTCCTAAAGGAAAGGGGGCTTTCATATGGAAGTGGGGAACGCCAGGAAATGACTGGCATTCTTTGTGGACAATTTGAAAATAAACTTGTGGGTCCTCACTTCTCTCTCAACAGCCAAGCACAAAACTAGAAATTAGAAGTGAGGGTCATGGTGTTAACAATTCCCTCTTTCTTGTGTTTGCTGCTGTAATTTGTCCCCAAATGTATATTTTCTTCTACTGGAGATGCGCCACCGCAGTTTCCGCTTTTTGTCGAGAGCTTTGCACTCTCTTCTCGACAGTTTCTTGAATGGACGCATTCTCTCTGTCTTTTTTTACTTTTCCTTTTCCTTCAGTATTTGTCCTTATTTTGCCTTATCTTCCCCCCGCCTGTCTTTAAACACAACCCCGCTGCTTGGGCTCTGCTTTATGAGGTGTGACAGTTAAAGTCTGGTTGCCGAGGCAGGCCGCGTGGACTGGAACGTAAAGCTTTGCATTCAGCCGGCTGCAGCCGGGTTTGTGGAGGACTTAAACTCACTTCACCCCTATACAGTACCTCGTATACAGGAACTGCCTTCATTATGCTGAGCTGGCATGAAAGTGCAGAACTGGAAGGAGGGGAGAGCGGGGAGAGGGAAAAAATAACACTTTAACCTCGGAGCTCGTAGTTGAACACATGCAGTTGCTACCTTTGAAGGGAAAAACTGAAAGAAGATTAAAAGCAGATGTTAATTGAATTAATTCATCACTTCAGCTGCACAAAGTTTAGCCTCTTTTTTTTTTCTTGTGTATTTTGGCTAAAAGTGTTCATAGCTCTCTCTCACTGCTTTGATTTAATACTAAACAGGCTTTCTCAGACGATCAGCCTCTCCACCCCACAGATTGACACTCACACCTTACCCTCCTCCTCAAACTCCTCTTGTTGTTTTTCCCACCGGGCCAGGGGTAGTTCCCAGGTATTTGACCAGTCTAGCGTAGCAGGGAGGCTGGTTGTTGTGTCCTCTGTGAGACAAAGGCAGCGTGCCTCAAGTATAGGGATGAAAGGAAACGGGGCTGTGCAGCCACTCATTTTTACAATGGGAAACCTCCTTAGCGAGGCTGTAGGGCAAATGACCACCTTCTCTCTTCCTTTTCTTTAACAAGCACCGAGGCTGAGAGCGTGTCTCTATCTTTTTTCTTTTTGTAGTAGGAGGAGCAGCGCCGCGTATATACCTATAGATGTGAGTTTGTGTGCGCGTGTAAAGGAGGAAGGGATATCCTTTGTCTCTGCGCAGAGTGCTTTTTGAGCTTTCGCTTCCTTACACCTGCTCAGCTGACAGATGGTGCTTCGCTGCTAAAAGATGAACCAGCAACCGAGGTTGAAATTGTTAAAAGATGGGTGGGGGAAATTTAAGGGAGATATCAGAAAAATAAATACGTATGCCATTTAAAAATGTTGCTGGATCCTCTCTTCAGTAAAAGGGGACACGGACATTGGGTGTTTTGCTTTCTTCAAAATTGAAGGAATTACCTTCAATTACCAGTAAGAAAAAAAAGAAAGAAATAAAAGCCACTTTTAAGATATTAAAAGCAACAAAATCTGTTCAACTTCACAGTGTTACATTTAAGGCTCGATAAGGGCTGTAGGACATTTTGGCGTCGGTGAGTCTAAAAACCTAAAAACATACAATATGATGTGAAAATGCCTTTAATTTTATGAGCAAATGATATATTTTTTCATTAAATCTTCTATATTAGTCCTCAGTGTAGTGTTGTCAGGAGGGGCGGGGGGTGGGAGCGGAAGCCGCAGGAGTCTTTTATGGCTCCAGGTCCAGAGACAACCTGTTCTCAGGCACTTCTCTCCTGGCACTTTTTTATGACATCATAAATTCCTCCATTTCCTCTGACCAGCCCTAGGTGGGTATAAAGGACGTACCTGGCCAGTAATTGTCTGTCTGGCCCTCTCATCTGTCGGATTCCTAATGCTGCTGGTGACCTCCTCCAGAGCCAGACTCTCAGACTGCCTCAGGATACAGAGATCTCTTAGATCTGCACCGTGGACCAATAAAAACTGTAGTTTAGTTTATTTGTTGAGTGATCGAAAAAAAAGAGTGAGAGAGAAGAAGAAACAAAAAAGCTTGTTTCTAGTTCATTTAGATTAGCAACGAGAGTCAGCCTGGCACCCACATTATGGAGGCCTCTCTGCGTGCATGTGCTCTTCAGACCGTCAACATCAACCCACTCCCACTCTCAGACCTGTTGATACCTTTTGTTTGTTGAAATCTGAGGACGAACAGCAGAAAAGAAGGGATTAGGGGAAGAAAGACAAAGTTTTTTTTTTCTTTCTTTTTTTTTGAGGGAAGGGGGCCCAGAAACACTCAGCGCTCACATTAATCTGACGCTCAGCTCGGCTGGCCTCAGGGAGGCTCGAACAATACACACACCAGCATGACAACATTCCTGGAGGTTAAAAAGGTCAGGGGTCACCCAGTGACCCCACCCTGCCAATCAGTTCCAGGGCACTAACTCGGGGCCTTTGTTTTTGCTTTATGTCTTTGCACTTGTTGAACAGACTCTGAGCCTTATGTTACAATGTGCCCTTTGCTCTCTAATAGACTGGATTGGCACGGAGCACTTTTACGTTTGTTAAGTCAGTTTTGGCTTAGATAATAATCATTTTTTTAAAAACAGGGAGGGGGCTGCGAAGAAGGAGAGCGTAGCAGTGTTTCATTGCTGCAGCTTCGGGGTTCAGAGGCTTAAATGCAAAACAGAACATGGAGAAAGAAAACACATTAGCCCGAGGCTGCAAAATGTGCACATTGACTTTAAAAAGCTTTGGCCAGGTTTGCTTGGCAGTATACTTTTTAATATTATGTCTGTAGCCTATGGCGCATACTATAACCCAGCCAGATGTTTGGCAAGCCCACATCTATATATGGGAGCAAAAGGAACCACGGCAAAGCAGCCAAGCTGTAATTATTGTCCATATTTTCAATTGATTTATGCCCATTTTATATAATCAGCCCACCCGGGTCACTTATTAGTCCAACATAGGCAACGTCGATGCTCAAAGTTGTATTTTTCCTTCCTCATGGAAAATCCAGCTTCGTTTTTTTTCTTCTTCTTCTTCTTCTTCTTCTTTTTTTTTGCAAACAGCACAGCAGACTTCAAATAAAGTCTGCGAGCCGTCATTAAAGTGGAGCGTATGCATGTGTAGGCATGGAGTGGCATGTGAGGCCCCTACGGGGAGACTGCAGGTCTGTTAGTCATTATGACTGAATGTACAGTATACACTGGAGTGGACACGCAGCTACATTAAAGCCTCACCCACGGCCACATTGGACCACCCCAGAGACACACCGCTGGCACTTCCTCTGCTCGCTTCCATCGCTCAGCCTCAAGGGAAGTGCGTTTAGGGATTTCCTGAGCAAACTCGGGGCAATTAATCGTGGGTTGATTAGGAAACTTTCTAGTGAAAATCCAATTAATTGTAAGAAAACATTGTACTCTTTTCCTTCTTTTTTTTGTGTTTGTTGTTCTGTGCATTGAAATAAACACCCTCCCGTGTTTTCTTGTCTTCTAGGTTTTCCCACCCGGCTCCGTGAAGATGATTTCAGTCAGGTATACTTCACCACAGCATTCAAATACTCAATTTCTTGCAAAAATATTCACAGTGCGTCACAGAAAGATGGCTATAAACCTCTTGAATTTTATCCTGCATGCCAAATCCGCTTATACAGTGGAGGAAGGAGACACCGCTCTCTATTAGTCTGCAGTTAGAAATGAAAGCCTATCTTGGCTGCAGCTGTGGAGGAGCTCCAAAGATGGGGACGTTTATTGTCAGGAACAAATAGAGGCCTTTTTATTTTGTCTAGCAGCTGACGCCTCTCCCCACCCACTCCTCCATAACCGCTTTTGTCAGTAATGTAGAGTGGCCTGCTCGGGCAAGAGCGAGCGACCATGAGAGTTTCAGAGTGGAAAGGGAAAAAAAGAAAAAGAAGTGGAGTTAGCTGTTGATAGGCTCGGGGAGGAAAGGCACGGCTGTTTGCCATATGGCGCAATTATCAGCTATTTGAAATGATTATCACTCTCCATCAATACAGTGTTTAAATGTATATATCTGTGTGTGTGTGTGTGTGTGTGTGTGTGTGTGTGTGTGTGTGTGTGTGTGTGTGTGTGTGTGTGATTTGATCTCTGGTTTGTGCCCCCGGTGTAATGTTGAGATTCTGTGACCTGCAGCTTGGCCCCCCATTTAAACTGGGATAGCTATGATCTACCCACCTCTAACCCCAATCCCTCCTCCCTCTGTCACCCCCTCCTTCCCTAACACACACAGACACACACACGCAAAGTCTACCAGCACAAAAGAAATATTCAGCTGTAGAGAGGGGGTCTCTCAGAGGGCGCGACATTGAACTGGGGGGGATTAAGTAGAAATGGCTGGCTGACATTGGGGTTGCCATGGCAAAGCCCCCTTTTTCTCCTCTCCCTTCGACCCTCCGCCTATTTTTCATTTTAGGTCTCATTGTGGGGGCGAGGTTAAGTTTGTTGTGTGGTGTGTGTGTGTGTGTTGGTGTGTGTTGTGTGTGTGTGTGTGTGTGTGTGTGTTGTGGTGTGGTGTGTGTGGTGTGGTTGTGAGACTGTGATGGAGTAGGGACGATCTAATTCGACATATGAATTTAGGCTCTTATCAGAAGCTGCCCTGCTTCACCCCGGGAGAAAAAGAGACCTCTGCTTCAGTCAGAAAGAAGAGAAACATCCGAACACGTGATTTTATTTATTTATTTTACAGACGGGCAGGTTACATATTTGTTACAGACCTGCTATCTGCTGAGTATCATTAAATATTATGGTGCATTTTATTTAGCAGTTAATGTATTCCTGTCATTTAAAAAATTTAAAATAAAAAATGACTTGAACATCTTTGCATGTACACAGAGGAAAGCATCCCACGGCAGAATGCAGAGGCAGTAATTCAAAGACGCGGCGTACGCACGGGACAAAAAAAACAAAAAACAAATTGTCTGTTTTATGACTGAATTACAGCTGCAGTAATATGGCGCATTACTCATCCGCTGCAGCCGGGGCGTTATCACGCTAGCCTCATGCTGGCCTCCCAGCAGCCCCAGCAGAGTAATGGATGCAGGTCGAGCTCGCGCGATGACATCAGCACCCTAAGCCGATGAAATGGGGCGATGAATGACCATAGATCAGCGTTTACCAACCTGACGTCAGCCCCTGCTCTGTGCAGCAGTGCACTGACACCGCCGGCAGTTGTTCCCTCAGATACTGGTCCGCTTCGGACAAAGGGAGCTCACAGCAGGACGTCAGTATTGTTCTCCGGACTCGGTGTCCATAAGACCTGTGCCAGGATTGAAGATGGTTAAGCAGAACTGCTCACAGGGTCTTTAAAGAGTAGAAATGCAAGCATATGCTTATTATATTTTAGTAGAATTCAGCCAAATTACAGAAATCCATTTTCTCCCCAGTGCCCAGATATTTGTCTCTGAGATTTTATTTTATGCTTCCACCACAAAAAGACTGAAGATGAATGGAAGCACTACTTTGTAGTGAAGAAATGGCTCTAATGAACACCGCTGACAGAATGATATGTGGGTTATTTATAGAAGCTGGGACTTTGTTTCTGGAAAGATGGTTTCGGTATGTAACGTTTTAAATGTTTTTTTTCTCAATGCTGTGATCAAGAAAAACAAAAAAAAGAAAACTGCATAAATCAAAGAGCTCAGACAGATCTCACAAAATCTACGCAAAAGAAGCCAAATTTATCCTCATGGCTACACACCACAGGAGGAAATGGAGAAAATGTTTGTCTGCGTGTGTGTTTTTCTTCTTTTTTCATGTGTGTGAAATCAGTCTTTAAAGAGAAGACAGTGGGATATCAGCGCTAACAACTTTTTCTTCATCTGTGTTTCAGATGCTGTTACGAGCAATTTTCATCTGAAGATGAAAGACTTCGTGTTCCTCTGATTAATGAGGTGGTAGTAAAGCTCTAAAGCAGAGCCTCTCAGCTTATGCTCGAGCTTAAGTATGCTTCGTGATGCTTTTGTGTGTGTGTGTGTGTGTGTGTGTGTGTGTGTGTGTGTGTGTGTGTGTGTGTGTGTGTGGGACATAACCAGAACTGTCATTGCCCTGAGGACAGCGGACTCATTCTGCCACTGTCTTGTGTCGTTATGTCCTCTCGTTACGCAACCTGACCTCTGTGGTTCTGAGCATCGTCCCCGTCCCCCTGTCCCATGCCTGTCTGACTGGCTCTCCTCCCTCCTCTTCCTCCACACCCTGCCTCCCGTGTCAGCTCGGCTCACGGTCACAGCTGCCGTCCTTCCTCGCCTTGCTTGCCTCGGTGAACATTCAACGCTGTCGGTGAGTTTGGTATGGACACAAAAAACCATCGACCGTTGACTGTGCCCCGTGGTTCGCTCCGACGACGTCAGGAACGAGCGAAGGAAGAAAAAAAAAAAAACGAACAAAGGGGCAAAGTGGCTGCATGCAAATCCGGTGACGAGAACAGACGCACACAGCCGCGCCGCACACAAAAGTGACACTCTGTTTCCACTGTACCCGAAGACCTAAGGTCACAATCAACATTCATTGCTGTCGCTGGGTTGGACTGTGTAGAAAAGCTCACTGAACAATGAGTGCAACTGTGGCCCAGATCTGCCTGACTCGCGTCTCAGCCAATCAGTCGGCCGGATGTGAGGCACTCTGATTATTTTATTTATATACTTCTTGTTTTTCACTTCTATTTTCTCCCTCCTTCCTCCCTCCCCGGTGCTGGGAGTCTTAAGGGGAAAGAGAAGGAGAGATAGAGACACAAATAGACTCCTGGCTGCTTGCTTGTCCTCATCCTCCTCTCCTCTAATTGATGGTTATGTGTGCAGCAAGGGGGAAGGAAGCGGAGTGAATGTGTAATCATTTGGAGTCTCTTCTCCTTTAGATGTTTCATCCCTCTCTTTTTTGTTTGTCTAATTATACACTGAGCTGAGTTAACTCTGCGTTAACTGTGCGCCTGTGCTGGCAAGAGAGACGGGCCGATGGAGAGGGAGGACAGGGAGAACAAAAACTCCAGAAAGCTTACAGCAGTAGATAAACGATTATCTAGTTTTCACTAGATTTTGCTCGATGTTTCCCCTCATGCAAACGTGCTGGGAGAAGGAAGGAAATTCTGGCTGTATAAAGTCGATTGTTTCCACCTTTCTCACCGAGGATGCCTCATTATCTGTGTTTGAGTTTCATGAGAGGTTTCCTGCCTGCCCCTGTTTGTTTGTGTGTGTGCGCGCTGGCTAAGATAGAGGACCTGTCTGGTGATCTCACGGTGCAATATGTCATTTTCCTTCTATGCTAAAGCCTGCTGTCTCATGGGGAGGAAAAAAAAAAGCAGTCTATAACCTTGTCTTCCTTCGCAGTCTGGGACCGGCCACACCGCTGCCATTTCTCATTGTAGCCGCCTGCAACGACTTCTGTAATTCAAGTAAGGTGAACCCAAAGCTCACACATGTGATGTATGGATGTAAGAATATGTTTGTGTCACTGATTTGTCAATTAAACTAATAAAGTTGAATCAGTTCATTAGGCTGATGTGATTATTTACTGTTCGGATTAACTCGTGTTTCACGTAAGAACGATCTTTGTCATCTGTGTCATTTAGTCACCAAGTCCCATGTCCGTGTACCCCCGCCTCCCAAGTCTCTGTATTGTTCATAGAAAAGCACTCTGTGCAGTGGTGCAGAAGAGTGGAGGTGATGTAATAGTGGCCTTGAGCGTGGCTTCGGACTGTCATTTGGGATGGATTCATGCGACAGGAGAAAACGCTCGGTTTGTTCAGCCTTGTTGGCGTCGCCAAAAGGTGCAGCTGATGGCAAGAGACGATAAATAAAAGTGTCATCACAGTTTTGTTGAAATTAAACTCGGAAAGTTATCCAAACCATAAAATGTATAAAGGGAACAGTGTGAAAGCCCACATCGTGTGAACCAGTGTGTAAGAAGCTGGGATGCTGAGAGACACGAGAAGAAACCTCGGGAACAGACTTGAGCTGGAAACAAATCCAAGTGTTATTGAAACGTTGTTTCACAGCACCTCAAAGTGACACTACCCCCATCTAGTGCTGAGCTGTACACACAGCCTCCCTCTGTAACAATGTGGAAATCATGTATCATTTATTTAGCATAGAGTAGCTGAGGGAAACTGACCAACCACAGCCGAGTATTTTGGTTAGCTTTAATTTTTAATTGATCTTGGGTTTTTTTTGTTTGTTTTTTACAGAAGTGCATTCCTTGTCATTAATCTTTAAAATTTTAAATTGCTTTGGAGCATTACAGAAAAAAACAACAACATTAGAGTGTTACAGTTAAATCATTTCCAACCCTGGCTTTGGTTTGGTGTAATTAAAAGTGCTACATAAATTGGGAATTATCAATTTGTTGAGATAAATAATTTCTACATCACATTAGTATTGAGAAATTAATAATGTGCTCGCACTGTAGTTTTTTTTCTTTGGACATCGGTTGCTTTTTCACTTCTGACCTTGTTCTATGAAGGATTCAAGCATAAAAAGGGCAGCGAACTCCAGGGATGAACCAGTGTTGTGTCGACAAATAACGGACAACTTGTTAAAGAACAAATGTTAAAAACGATCTTTACCCACTTTGTTATAAGCTGCTTTCTTTAAAAGACTCTATGATAATGATGATAGTAAGTAGGGATGGGTACCGGTGTCGGTTCTGACATAAACGGTAGTAACCAGACCGAAAAGCAGCGCACATTTCGGTGCTTTTTTTCTGTGCTTTTTCCCCCTGAGATGTCACTTTGGATTCCAGCCAATCATTTTACGTTTCCGGGGATAGTAGGCGGGCCCAGGTACGTACGTTCTTTTAGAGCAGAGCTACAGATTAAAAA